GAATGTATAAAACATGTTCAGAACTTATCAATGAGAAAATACGCAACTCAATACAAATATAGGCAAAAGGTTTTCATTGTCACTTAGTCAAACAAGATATATGGCTAGGAAAAAGCAGATAATACGATGCTCAACATCTATAGTCATTAGACAAATTCAAATTAAAACCATAATGAAATACTAACACATATTTAGTAGAATGGCTAAAAAAATCAGTTGCTGGCAAGCATGTAGAGCAACTGTAACATACCATGCACAATGGTACAATCACTTTGAAAAGCAGAAGCAGTTTGTCAGTTTCCTATAAATGTAAACATACATATACCACGTAACCCAGCAATTCGACTTTTCCCCAAAAAAGAGAAAACTTGTGTTCACACAAACACCTGTATGTGGATGTGTATAGCAGCTTTATTCATAACCACCAAACACTGGGAACAACCCAAATGTCCTTCCATCAGTGAATGGATAAACAAACTATGGTATATCTATACAGGAAAACACTATTCAGCAATAACACTGATTTAAAAACAAACAATTAATACAAGTAACAACATGGATAAATCTCTAATGTGTTTTGCCAACTGAAAGAAACCAGATCAAAAGGCCTCTGTTTTTATAACATGTAAATGTCATATAACCATTTATATGACATTCTAGAAAAGGCAAAGACGTAGAAATTGAAAATAGTTCAATGGTTACTAGGGACTCTAGGTGGAGGGAAAAACACAACAAAAGGAAAGCATGATGAAAGTTTTTGAGTTGATGGAACTGTTCTGTATCATGACTTTGATCATAATACCAGACTTTGTGTATTTGTAAAGCCTCATAAAATTGTATATCACAAAGACCGTATTTTGTGCATGTAAGAAAAATTTTTAAAGAATGAAACAACTTTATAATTTGTCATCAGTAACTATTAAATCTTAACTATGACACATTATAAGTTTCAATTTTATTAAGCGTCATTTATTTTGTTTTAGTGTATCAACAATAGATCAAACAAAAGCCAAAATATTTTCAAACTGAGGTTACAAATGAAAAAGAACATAAAATGTACTTTATAACAGCATGATTAGGTCTGTCCCATTGAAAGAAGGTAGTATTATATTTGAAATATCAGGCTAACCTCCAGTCTCTTTAAGCTAGGAAAAGGATAGTAGTGATTGAAAAGCAGGGGTCAAATGGCACAGAAATAGTTCAGGGTTGTGGATATGCATTACAAGGACAGATTAGTCAGAGTTGACTGGTAGAGTTAAACAAAATTGTAAGATCACTGAGTGGTACAGAGATTTTAAGTAGAAAGAAATAGATTGATTCCAGTAAGCAGTTTGCACCACTGTAATAACTAATTAGATAAACAAGAGGTTGATCAATCAAATTTTAGGAGGGTATTATTCTATAAGCAATTTAAGCAAATTTCTTTACAAAATGGTACTTAGACTACAGAATTAACTGTCAAACTTTTCTATAAAAGAGGAAAATAACTAGGTAAATACATATTGATTACAGTACAGGCTTAAAAGGGAAAATTACTGATAGGCAATGTGCAATTAATCAATAACTAGGAATAGGGAAGTGAAAATTGGAATTCAGTTCAAAGCAGGTTATAACCGATATGGAGATTATAAAGGAATTTGTCAGATATAGGCCAGTTTTATTCAGCATATACAAAGGTTTGTAAAGCATCAAGTTAAGTTTATCCATGTAAGCAGCCTAGTTTAAAGTGACAAAGCAGAGGGCTGAATTATCACTTGAAGTGTAAAGTTTAAGCAAAGCTTTTTGTTTTTGACAACTCAGGGTTGGATGGAATTTTTGTAATGAATAAAAAGCTAACATGTTCAGATGAATTTTCATCTGATCATCTACTATTTGTTAAAAAAGAACAAAAAATAGGACTAGATCTGCCTTCAAATACTCTCTCAATTCTCCATATGTGGGGGAGGCAGAGGAATAAAAAATGAAATGATATTATAAGAGTTTATAATAGAATTAAGCATAACTACAGCCTAGATACAAAAGAACCTTGTCATTACAGGGATAATAGAACTCTGAACTTGACAGTGGACGGCAGGCCTCTGAAAACAGTCTTTAATAAGAAAAAAGTTTTTGGTGAAAAATTCTTTGTTCCTCCTACCATCAGCTCAGCCTTCAGTTATTATCTTTTCTGAAGAAAGAAAAAAAAAAAAAAAAAAAAAAAAAAAAAGATCCTACCTTGTCTGAAAGTTTACTCAGCAAGTGTCCTATAGATATCTTCATGAGTTAGACTGTTTTAGATACAGGGGATACAGTGATGAATAAGAAAGACAAAGTCCTTTCCCTCACGGAGCTCACTTAACTAGAAGACAAGTCCAATTACAGACAAGTGAATGTATAAATAAAATTAGATACTTTAGAGTGTTATGTGTAAAGTTGTAAGCAGAACTTTAAATTGCTTTATATAAAATGCCTAGCTGAGAGTGACAACTTAGTGATCATCCAAGAATATTGGTTCTTCTTTTCCTTCCACCCACTTTCCTTCTCTCCCTTTCTTCCTATATCCCACTGCGGCCCTTTATTTTCCCTTTATTTTCATTTCCTTTATTTTCTTGCTTGTGTATAATTTCTACTGCTCCTACCCCTCTTCACCTTCCCAAATGAGATTATTCTATTGTGATTTTCACTTTGGGGAATGACTACTCAAAACCAATCTGAATGCTGCAATGGCAACACTTCCTGGAAGAGCCTTTTTAGTTGTGGGTTTGAATTTCACTGAACTGCCCCCATTTCATACACTTATTATCAATCTCCATTATTATTAATTTAATGCTATTCTCAGCGATTAGAATCTATGTGTGGCTTGAGAAATTCTAACAGGAGCAATTCAAGGTCAATGACTTCCTACCCCGAGGGCCACTGAAATATATTTCTCTGTTCAAGTCTGTAGCTGTTCTCCTGAAAAGCAACAAATGATTTTGTCCCCCCTCTTCACATCTCAGTTGCATTTTCATCTTTTCTCAGAGAATCTCTTGGATTAAAAGTGTCCAGGAAGCAAGATTGGAGGTTATAGTTTTCCCTTCCATTGACAGTCATGTCACACCATGTGAGGCTGTAATATGGTAGATACTAAAATAGATTTGAATGACCTTTCTGCCTGATTATGACATGCTTTAAACATGCTGCACACCAATTCTTAACATGCATATAAAGAGGAAATAATATATAAACAGATATTGATGACAGTGACTTGAGAAAGTATATAATAAAATAATTCCCTTCCTTTGAAATGGTTTTATTCCTATGCCTTGAAATGAAAGTATATATATTTGGATAAAAATTAGCAAAAATATTATCTTGTTAATTTCAAAATGCCCCCATCTTCCTTTTAGATACTTTATCAACAATATTCATCTTGAATGATTTCTAAAATACTGCAACAAAAGACTTGAAGGTATTCATCTCCATTTTCTCTTCTTTCTAAAGAAGTTATATGTCAAATACTTCCATGCTTTAAATAAAGACAGAAGATTCAGAGTTAAAGACTGATCTGGAAACAAAGGCAAACAGAAGATTTAGACTTAAGGACTGATCTGGAAACAAAGGAGTAATCTGCAAAAATGGGAATCTATACTTAAGTAATAAGCTAATTTTGCTTCAGAAATAGTTTTTGTTTAACCCACTGTACCCATTCCACATAACCATGCATCATTGTAGTCCCCTCCAGGACCATTCAAGCCATGAATCACCATAGCAACTCATCCTAAATAAAAATACCATGACAGTGATTTGGGAGGAAAAGTATAGGTGCCGAACTCAAAGCTATTATCTCTCCACTAAAGTTATGTAACAACTGAAGTCACTTCACGGGTATAAACACTTACAGACGTATATGTTAGTGTCTAAAGAGCTTAGCTAATGAGTCATATTTCACAACCTTGAGCTCCGCTCCAGCCACAGCCCAGTTTGTTGTCTTCACAGTTAATGTTAAGATCTTTACTTATCTTCAATTCACTCTCACTCACCTCTGAGGAAATACGTATACCTTTCCCTGATGTGCTTTCTCTATAAACCCATGTCCTTATGCTCCTTCAAAAAAAAAAAAATTTTTTTAACAGACAGAAATTTTATTTTATTTTTAGACAGAGTCTTGCTGTGTCACCCAGGCTGGAGTGGTGGTGCAATCTCACCTCGATGCAACCTCTGCCTCCCCAGTTCAAGCGATTCTCCTACCTCAGCCTCCCAAGCAGCTGGGACTACAGGCGCCCACCACCATGCCCAGATATTTGTTTTTATTTTTAGACACAAGGTTTCACTATGGTGGCCAGGGCTGGTCTTGAACTCCTGACCTTGTGATCCACCTGTCTCGGTCTCCCAAAGTGCTGGGATTACAGGTGTGGGCCACCGCAGCCGGCCAGAAACTCTTTAATTGGAGCTTTTTCCAACTCTAAAACAAAACCCCATTTCCCCCTTATACTCGGTTCCTCAGGAGCAGAGAAGTTTGCAATGATGATCTCAACTCCATATCATCTGGTGACCCCAATTTTGTAGGACTAAGACATTTCCCAAGAGTTCTGCCCCATCAGCCAGTGAGGACGAGGGTTCTTCAGTACGGCTAAGCTCAAGGACACCTAGGCTTGCTTGTAGGTCTGACAAAGCACGGAGCGTTGAACAGATGGCCTGGGACTCCCAGGCCTGGCAGAGTGTTTTCATTGAGGCCCGCCTAGCCTATGCCATTTCATCCAAGTACCCTGACCCAGAGCTCATCTTCCCTGGCATTCTCTGTTATCCACCAGCTCTTCTGTACACCTCGGCTTCTACTTCCATGAACTTGTTGTAAACATCAAAAGGTCCAACGTCCTGGAATGCAGCAGGAGAGTAGGGGTCAGGGCAGCCTCCGAAACCACACCTTCTACCAGTATTGAAAGAAGAGAAAGTGGGGAAATTCTCCAAAGATCATGAGATGCATCCCAGGCAGTGTTCTCATGTGAGAGGGTAGGAAGGCCAAAAACAAGCTGCTGTAAACCCCTGCCGCTGTCTGGCGCTTCTGAGGACTTGACAAGCGTAGTCGCACAATGCTAGTAGGGCTGGGACTCTTCAACGTTTTCTTCTAGGGCCAAGTAGACTCTGTGTAACTTATTTTGTAAGAAATGGGTGTGGTGACAAGAGGGGACACCTTCCGCCCCTGCAGCAGAGTGGTAAGACTCCAGCCTGGGCCCTGTGCAGCAGACCAGCCCAGAGGCTGTGAGCCACGGAAACTCACCGCACCTGGTGGCCATAGGCTGAAATGTACACTGTGCTCCAGGCAGCCAGCGTCCTATCAACCTGACATTTACCAAACATCTCAACAGCAGACCAGAACTAGAAAACACAGCTTCTGGTAGTAAACACTTACCGTCTGAGACCCAAATAAGGCCCCCCATGTCCTTCAAAACCCAGACTCTACAGGCTGAATGTCCAGCTTCTTCCTCCAAGACGGAACTGCTCTCAGCCCACGAATTCTCTACAAAATCGAAGAGGAAACCCACAGAATCCAAAACCTCATTACATAGCTGGGCTCAGGAAGAAAGCCACCAACTGAAGGCAACTCAGGAGGAAGAAGCCAAGGCTGGCAGAGTCCCTGGGCCTGTTTCTAAGAAGTCACCTTCCCAACAAGAGCAGAGGTGCCCTTCACCATAACCCCCAGTCCTTTAACTTCTGACTGGGCCAGTGATTCTCCTCCCCAGTCTGCGGCCCACCTGGAAACTGGCTGTGCTACTTTAGGGAGATAGGAAGGACAGGATGGCAAGAGGACACTAGCGAGTGGCTGGGCCAGGCGGCCCCATTTCCTGAAACCAAGATGGCTGCTGCTGCTGCCCAAGCCCTCAAAGGCGGACAGGCCTCACACGCAGCACCAGCACACACACACACACACACAAGTAACAAGACCAGGGGAGGGGACCCTGAGTGTCCACTCCACAGGGAGGTTGCTATGTACAGGGACAGGAGGGAGAATCTGGCCAGAGACACCCCCACTGCAGCTCATTCAACCAGGAGATCAAACTGCTCAGCAGCTTCAAACTCGACATTCGTGGCTGCAGCCCACTCATCCAGCTCCGTTTTCAGAATCTCTGGCATCTTCTTCTTTGGTTTCTGTGTCTTGGGTGGTGGAGAGATTCCAGGCGGAGTCGTGTCTGGGGCCCAGGGCTTTGCACCGACCCTGGGGACCTCGGTGAATTTTGAGCACACCACTGGTGAGACTCCGGACAAATCTTCTGCCCCCAGCTGCCCATCGAAGCCAAAGCAGGACCAGCGGCCTGGGGTAGAGTTGGAGGCAGAGCCCAGGGTCTCCAGCCGGCTGTAGGAACGCCTGACTTTCTTAAACATTTCCAAGTCTCTGGCGTCCAGCTTTCTCTCCTTGGAGCTGAACTCAGCCTCAGGGTTGAGCACGGGAGAAGTGTTGGGAGTGGCAGGGACGCTGTATATCTTGGAAAGGTCCTCCTTAGTCAGCTCCCTGCAAGGGGGCTTGTTTTCCTTCTCCAAGAAAAAGGCAATCCTAGGGCTCCTGCGAGGCGAGTGAACAGCTGGGACGTCTACAGCATGGGCCACCATCTTCTTCAAGACGATGGGCTTTCTGATTGCAGCCGCACTGGGTGTCTTCGGCCAGATTTCAGGGGGGGTGCTTCGGAGAACAGAGCCTGATTTCCGTTGGGACTTCCGCACAGACTTAGTAGGAGATGGGGCCCTTGGCCCGGAGCGCTGAACGGCCCCTCCGGACCGCGTTCGCCTCCCAGACATAACTGGGCTCCGTATAGATCTCCTCCAGCACCGCCGCCCCAGGCACACACCAACTGGGAGGGCCACTCGCTGCAAGAAACTTTCGAATTGCTCCTTCAAAATTTTACCTTAATGTATCTCCCTTTTGTGTTATGTCAGAACCTACTTAGGATGAATTACTTCTATTATTTTAATGATTTTTTTCGTCTCTCTTCTTTCATCTCAGTTTTATTTCCAATTCATCTTATGTACAACATTTAGTTCTTTCTTGGGACAGCTGTATGCAGTTGATAATGCATGTTTATATGTTCCTGTCACTTGAGCTTAAAGACATTTTTCTATATATCCCTTGTCACTTGCTGATTGATATGGCTGACAGATGACATTTTTTAGAAGAAGCATCATCAACTGCTCAAAATATGCTGACATCTCCAGCAGTAAATAATTCAAGACAGTCATGGTTTAGAAAGCACAGTTCCTGCATTTATAAGAAAAAGAAAATCATAAACTTCTAAGAATATGAGAAAGTAGACCTTTATTCAGAGTGCTCTAGAAAATCATCCCAGTACTTTCAGTAAAAATTTGCAAAGAATATTACTTTTTCCTTCATTTAAAAGATATTTTCTGTGTGCATTTCAATCACTGTCCAAGGCACTCAGGGAAGTCACGGTGAATAAGAAATACAAGAAACTTGTTTTTGTAAAATTTACATTCTTTGTGGGAAAAATAAATATAAACAAGCAAACAAATATGTAAAAAAGATAATTTTGATAATGATAAATGAGAAGAAATAGAAATGTGCTAATAAGTGACAAGCTGTGCAGACATAGTGGTATGCATGTATGTCTGAGGGACAGGGATGTGTAACAGATGCTATTGATGTTCTTCCCTGTGTCTCCTTGGCCTACCTCTGAGATCACCTGCAGCTATGGTAGACTATAGTTCTGAAATTATCAAGTACTGCATATTTTGCCTCATTTTCTGGAGTTTTCTCTGGAATCAAAGGAACATGTTTGACCAGGCACAACTCAGAAGTACTGGAATAGAGTTGACCTCAACCCTTAACCAATGAGGGATGAGAGTTAGTATATGGATATCACAGCCTCCTGCTCTGTTTTAGGTGTGGTCCACAGTTTCTTAGTTTCCCTGAAAGAGTTTGTCCTAATTGTTCAAAGCAGCAGCCTGCCAATTAAAACACATTTTTAGACTTTTTTCACTTCCCTGTCTCATTTTCCCTTCTCTTTCATTTTTGTTTCTTGGTATCAACTCCTAAATAAATTACTTACACTCAAATCCTTGTCTCAAGAATTACTTTTGAGGAAAACTAAAAGTAAGATAGTAGGAAGGGGATATAGAATATTTTAATTGGATGATTAAGAACAATCACACTAAGATAGTTATATTAGAAATGAGATCTAAATGACAAGAAGTTACCACGCATGAGAACATGTGGGGAAGATAGTTCCTGGTGGAATCAAGAACAACTGCAAAAGCCCCAAGGTGAGAATGAAGAGCACAAAAACAGAGTGGCTAGAGTAGAGTAAGCGGTGAGTGGTAGGCAAGGAGGTCAAAGGGGCAAATAAAATATTAGTGTTACAGAAATTTGTATATAAAGGAGTTCAGGCTTATAGTCAGCCTTTGTAAGACTGTAAACCAGGGACTAATATAATTTGATATCTAAGTAACTCTGGCTATTTGGAGGAGGAATAGATTTCAGGAAGACAAGAGTTACGAACTTTAACAGGAAGGAAGCAAGAAGACTAGTTATGAAACTACTGTACTGGGCTAGGTGAGAAAATATATATATAAGTTTTTCTTAGCGAAGAGCAGTGGAGATGGAAAGAAGGTTTATTCTGAAGATACATTTTTAAAGACATGAAACCAGATGTGACCCTTAGGAGTAAAAAATAGCCTAGGGAAAAACTTGAGGAAGAGTTAAAGGAGCTATAAAGCAAACTGTGACAGAAGTGAGCTGAGTAGGTGGAAGTCAGCAGAGTAGATGGAAGACAAGAACTAAGATTTAATGGGCACCAAAAATAATACTTATCAAGAAATACCAGGAAGTAGGAAGTGGTCAACTGTGTGGACTGTTGCTGGAGTACAACTAAGAGGAAGATAGAAATCCAGCCATTCTATTTGTCACCTTTCAGATCATTGATAAGAGCAGCATGAATTAGTGGCATGGAAAAATGGATTGTTATATGTGGAAGAGAAAAAAGAATTTGAGGATGTTGAAATAGAGAATAAAGACACAACTTTTAAAAATCTTTGTTCTTAAGAAGAACAGGGGTATAAAGCAATAGCTTAATTGGGGTATGTGGGATCAGTGCTACCATGCCAGAGAACATGGTATGTGTTCACAACAGTGTTTCCTTTTCCTGAGCATAGAAAGAGTACATTTATCAGCCTTCCTTGCAGTTAAGTTTCTATTATAGGGTTACATATGGACCCCATATAGCGTGTTGTTAGAAATATTGTAACATTACATATGCAACCCCCAATAGCGTGTTGTTAGAAATTATGCATGCCATTTCCAACAAGGAGCTTTAAAAGTATTCTATGGAAGGGGTATAACTCAGTGGCAGAGCATTTGACTGCAATAGTATTCTATGCAATCCTCCACTTATTTTTTCCCTCCAATGGCAAATTCGAAAGTCATGTGTTCCAGATGGTAAAATCACAAAGTGGAAGCCACCTGGGTTGCTGAGTCCATTTTGAAGAAAGCCACCAAGAAGATCCAAGCTACCTATGTTGGACTGTGATATGAGGAAGAAACAAACTTTTGCTGTGTTTAGCCACTGAGTTATCTAGGCTCATTTATTACTTCATCAGAGCTAAGCCTATCCTGACTAATACCCCAGCAGTTGTTTACAAGATTGTTGATAAAATACTATTTTGCATGTTTTAGAAAATGTGTAGTAGGGAGACAGATTTGATATTGCAGAAGAAATAGTATGTAATTACAAGAATATCATACTTAAGAAGATGAAGTTTGAGATCAAGAGTAGCAATTTCTTAGGCTGGCCTTAGAAGTGGGGGCATTGCAAAGAAAGAAATGCAGAGAATGTGAATACAAAAGAAGTCACAATGACATATTTGGTCAATGGAAGCTGAGGAAGTTTCTCATTTAGAATTTCTATTTGATCACAGAAGAATAAGATAAGAATACAGCTGAGAGATAGGATAGATGTAAAAATATTGGCTCTTTGAGGAAAGAAGGCAAATTATGAAAAAATGAAGAGGGGGCAATCAATTAAATTAAAGTAAAAGAAGATCATCTGGCAATGTTGAGTGTATCTGAGGTGTGTGATCATGAATGTAAAGTATGTCCAAGTAGAATATTTGTGTGCATTTTTATGCTGATTGCAATTTCCTGGATGAAGGCATAAAGTATTTGGATAGATTCATTTAGGCAGGCATGCATAATAGAGAAAGAGTGGAGCAAGAATATTGCAAATAATGGCGAAGAAGTGATTTTAATGATGGATCAAGGATCCTTAGCTGGATAAGAAAGAAATATAGACAACCACAAACAATGGATAATCTATCATGTGTATGTGAGAGGCCTCCATAAAGAAAAATAGTTACTGAATTAAGAGTACTGATATACGTGACCTGAAAGGATAAGAAATGGTGGTCAGAATGTCTTATGCTTCAAATCGAGATTTTTAAATAGTTCACTTATTGATGATTAAGAAGTCAAATGTATTGTACAGCAAAGGAAAAAATAGGATTTTATGGTAGCTCTTGGGGGAAATCATCCTAATTCTGACACAAAAAAACTGCTATTTCTGAGCAATAGTTGTTATTGTTTTATGGGTACTGGGAATCATATGAGTTACGGGAAAGAGTTATACACATGGAAAGAACATGAAAGATATTTCTGTTAAATGTGGCACAGAGGATAATAATTCTTAGAAAGAGACCAAGAAATAAATAGTTGCTTATCTTAAAAAGTATGGATCTGTGAAAAAAGAAATTCAAAAGAAAAAAGACTAAAAGTGTAAAGGCAAAAGGAAGAGCAGGCAATTTAGGAAGGGGAAGAAGGCACCATGTGGTGGCCTCTTCACTGCACTAGATCAGCAGTACTTGGAGTAGATAAATATCAGGCCCAGGATAGGGGCTCCAATAGGAAAAAGAATTTATCTGCAGGTGCCGTGAGGATGATACATCTCAAATAATATGTATCTTACCTGATTACAAAGACAGCAGTAGGAAGGAGCCAAGCAAGTCACACTACACTTTGCCTTCTTCACCAAACACAGAGAAGAGGGAGCTATGTAAATGTTCCCTGATTAGATGTCCTATAGACCTCACTGCCCCTTTTTTCCTCGTAGCTGATGGATAACTACTTACCAAGCAGCTCTAGAGCTTAGTAAATGATAAGAGCCTTGTAATGGTGGTAGACAGCAGAAAAATGAAAGTAGCCCTTGTTTACTACCTTGGGAAAACAAATACCAGACCTGTTCATAATTACCATTGTTCAAATAAACAGAATCTGAAGACATATGGAGTTTACACAGTAAGTTCTATATGATAAAAACATAAGAAAAGCAAAGAAAACAAACACTTGAGAAATGCAAACATAGAGTAACCAATTGGTATGTCATTTCAACTAAATTCAAGAAGATGTGGATTTCTGAAGCAAGATTAGGCAATGAGATAGTGAGATAACAGAGTTATCCAGAAAGGAGACTGGGTAACATGAAGAAGCAAAAATTGGGAGGCTCTAGTTCATAAGAAAAGTAAAGATAATATAATTCTGATTATAAAAAGTAAATTGCGTAAGAAAAGGGCAAGGGCAAAAATTATAATTCCAAGATTATGGAAACAATAATATGGAGGACAAATCTGAAATTCTCTTCAAAAATGAATAGGGAAAAGACAAGATGATATAAATTGTATTAATCACCTGGGGCAGCTATATTGAAATGCCATAAATAAGGTGGCTTATAATTAACGGAAATGCATTTCTCACAGCTCTGGAGGCTGGAAGTCTGATATCAGGGTGCCAGCAGGGTCAGGTTCTGGTGAAGGCCCTCTTTCAGGTAGATTGTTGTCGGTTTGTTGTATCCTCACATGGTGGAAAGCAGAGAGGGGAAGCAGGCT